AGAAAACTACAGACCAATATCCCTGATGAACTTACATGCAAAAATACTCAACAAAATATTAGCAAACCAAATTCAAAAATACATCAAAAAGATCATGCATCATGATCAAGTAGGATTTAGTCTAGGGATGCAAGAATGGTGCAATATCAGAAAATCCATTAACACCATCCACCATCAACAAAAAGGACAAAAACCACATGACCATCTCCATAGATGCTGAAAAGTCATTTGACAAAATTCAACATCCATTCATGATAAAGACTCTCAACAAAATGGGGATAGAGGGCAAGTACTTCAACATAATAAAGTCCACATATGACAAACACACAGCCAACATCATACTTAACAGCAAGAAGCTCAAAGCCTTTCCATTAAGATCGGAAACAAGACAAAGATGCCACTATCTCCACTTTTATTTAACATAGTTCTGGAGGTCCTTGCCAAGGCAATCAGACAACACAAAGAAACAGAATGCATCCAGATTGGTAAAGAAGAATTAAAACTGTCACTGTTTGCAGATGACATGATATTGTACATAAAAACCACTAAATAATCCACTTCAAAACTAGATCTAATACCTGTATTCAGCAAAGTTGCAGGGTACAAAATTAATACACAGAAATCTTTTGCATTCCTATACACTAATGATGAACTAGCAGAAAGAGAAATCAGAAAAACAATTCTATTCATAATTCCATCAAAAAGAATAAAATACCTAGGAATAAATCTAACCAAAGAAGTGAAAGACCTACACTCTGAAAACTAAAAGACAATCATGAGACAAATTTAAGAAGATACCAATAAATGGGAACACATCCTGTGCTCATGGATAAGAAGAATTTATATTGTCAAAATGGCCATCCTGCCTAAAGCAGTCTACAGATTCAATGCAATCCCTATCAAAATACCAACAGCATTCTTCAACAAACTAGAGCAAATAGTTCTAAAATCCATATGGAACCACAACAGCTGAATAGCCAAAGCAATCCTGAGAAAGAATAAAGCTGGGGGGATTATGCTCCCTGACTTCAGGCTCTACTACAAAGCCAAAGTAATCAAGACAATCTGGTACTGGGACAAGAACAGACCCATAGACCAATGGAAGAGAATAGAGAGCCCAGATACAAACCTAAGCACATATGGTCAATTAATATATGATAAAGGAACCACGGAGATACAATGGGGAAATGACAGCCTCTTCAACAACTGGTGCTGGCAAAACTGGACAGTTATAAGCAAGAGAATGAAACTGGATTATTGTCTATCCCCATACACAAAAGTAAACTCAAAATGGATCAAAGACCTGAATGTAAGTGATGAACCATAAGACACTTTGAAGACAACATAGGCAAAAATCTACTGAATATAAACATGAGCAACTTTTTCCTGAACTCATCTTCTCAAGCAAGGGAAACAAAAGCAAAAATGAACTACATTAAAAAAGCTTCTGTACAGCAAAGGAAACCAGGAACAGAACAAAAAGGCACCCTATAGTATGGGAGAATATACTTGTAAACAACATATCCAACAGGGGGTTAACCAACAGTTAGGATGGCCAGTATCAAAAAGACTAAGGTAAGAATAATAAATGTTGGCAAGGATGCAGAGAAAGGGGAACCCTCTTACAATGCTGGTGGGAATGTAAATTGGTGCAACCATTGTGGAAAGCAGTACGGAGGTTCCTCAAAAAACTCAAAATAGAAATACCATTTGACCCAGGAATTCCACTCCTAGGAATTTATCCAAAGAAAACAACTTCTCAGATTCAAGAAGACATATGCACCCCTATGTTTACTGCAGCACTATTTACAATAGCCAAGATGTGGAAGCAACCTAAGTGTCCATCAGTAGATGAATGGATAAAGAAGATGTGGTACATATACACAATGAAATACTATTCAGTCATAAGAAACAAATCCTACCATTTGCAACAACATGGATGGAGCTGGAGGATATTATACTCAGTGATATAAGCCAGGCGGAGAAAGACAAGTACCAAATGATTTCCCTCATTTGTGGAGTATAACAACGAAGCAAAACTGAAGCAACAAAACAGCAACAGACTCACAGACTCCAAGAAGGGACTAGCGGTTACCAAAAGGGGAGGGGTGGGGGAGGACAGGTGGAGAAGGAGGGAGATGGGGATTGAGAGGTATTATGCTTGGTACACATGGTGTGGGGGGATCACAGGGAAGACAGTGTAGCACAGAGAAGGCAAATAGTGACTCTGTGGCATCTTACTACTGATGGGCAGTTACTGCAATGGGGTATGGGGAGACACGGTAATATGGGTGAATGTAATAACCATATTTTTTCATGTGAAACCTTCATAAGAGTGTATATCAATAATACCTTAATAAAAAAATTGTCAGGATATAAGTAGGGGTACACATTTAAGCAGTTCTTAAGATCTTAAGATGAGGGTTTTCAATGAGGATAATGTGTTGAGTTTAGGAAAGATTTAGGATGTACATTAGCTTATTAAAAGCTTGTCTTGCAATTAAGAACAAATTTTACTTCACTTTAACTGAGCAAGAGAAAACACCTTTTCATTGCATTAGTGCAACCAGTAACATCTCACCAAATTATTTTTTCTATGTTCTGCAGTTTCCAAAACTTCGATTTGTATGTATGATCTTAATAACCACATTATATTGTATAAAAGATACCTATCCTTGAGATTGCACTTAGCTATGAATTATTCTAAACTTTGAAATTCTTACTGCTTTCAGTGTCATGCAAGAAGTCTTAGAACTAATACCAAAGATATATATTGGTTATTAAAAGTTCTGGAAACACCATTTTGAAAATATTTTTGTCTCTTCCCACCCACCCTCTGGTTGTCTGTAGATTGCCTCTGTGGATTGTTGATGAATTCTAGAGGTTTTACACACAAACTTTCGAAACTTAAGAATTGTTCTTTTCTTGGAAGACCAATAAGAAAAAGATACAAATATAGTTATTTGAACTGCTTTAAAACAATGTGATAAATACTGATGGGGTCAGTGAATAAACACACATTTCATATCCCATATATGAATATAGATGGATTTAAATACTATTTGTCACAGGGTATTAAAATGCTGGGTGTTCTGAGATACCCACTTTGACACACAAAGCAAAACATTCAAATTTTATATCTCAGTAAGGAAGATGGTAATTAACACTATTTTAATGGGAGTTCAAATAGTTTAGAGAAAAAAAAGGGGAGGATTTTAATGATAAAAACAACTGTTTATTAATTTAATGTAAAGAAGATTCTTAGGAATGTAAAAGTAGAAAATCCATTGTAAAATTTTCTGAAATTTCCTTTAAAACTCTAAAAAGAGAATGGTCAGTAGAATATAGTTCTATGGAATCTTTAGTTGAATAGCTTTTAACTCTGATAATACCTATGTGTAGAGTTGTGTGGTAGAAAGTCAAGAATATTCAAATTTTCTGATTGTAGAAGTAATAAATGTACATTTTGAAAGTTTGGAGAAGCATAAAAAAGAAATTACCACTCACTCATAATTACAGTGTTTGACAATATTATCTGTTATATTTGGTAGGTATTTTCTTCCTGTCTTTTTGTGGAATTGAGTTATTGATACATAAATCTTCCAACTTTTACCTGGGCTATTATTTTATCAATACTTCCATAATTTCCATATTACTTAACTAATTAAAGATTTACTAAAAACTCTTTCTAATGCTCATTTTAAGAGTTACACAATATTCTATTACAATTTATTTAACATGTCTCCTACGTTGGTTTATTCAGGTTGACTTCTATTTGAATCAACTTAAAACTTCAGTTTTACCAATAATATTGTGATGTGTATAAATCTTTTTTTCTTTAAAAAATTTTTACTTTGGGATAGATTCTAAAAATGAGATTGAGTCAAATGTTTCAACACTTTAACAATGTGCCATATGTATTACAAATATTTTGTTACAAATCTTTAAAAAATTTACATTAGCTATTGAAATATATTAGAATCTTCATATTACTCATTTGTGAATTTTTTGTTCATATCCTCTCATTCACCTCTTGGGCTCTGTGTTTTTATGATTTTCTATGAAGTTTTTCATATTAACACTTTAATTTGCATATTAAATAAAAACATTGGTAAATTTTAAAAAAATCTTAAGTCTATCACATCTTCAACAAGATATTTAAGCTCCCATTACTTCCTTACATGTAAAATAAGGAGGATCAGATAAGATAATGGATGTTAAGAAAATGCTTTCAGACTGGAAAACACTACCTAAAGTAGGCTATCTTCAATGTAACTTCGAAACCAAAAACAAACTGTAGTTTGCCAAGTGTATCTCTCTCTCAACTGTTGGTAACACTGTACGACATTCCATTATGGACAAGCAAGAACACTGAGTTAAATGCCCAGTTAGAACCCAGGTCTCTATTTTTAGCAGATATGTGACCTTGGGTAAATTTCCACTTTTCTGATCCTTAATTTCTTCATATGCAGAATGGGCTAAATACTGAACCTGTCAATCCTTTCCCCTCTCCCATTCAGGATTATGGTGAGGATCAAATTAGATCACGGATACAGAAACACTGTACAAATTCCAAACTGCTATCTATGCAAGCACAGAATACCAATGTGGACTCTCCCTCCCACCCATCTGTTCCTATTTAGCCATTACCTTGGTTCTTTTTTTAAACCACTGTATTTTCCCCTGCCTGACCTTTTAATAGTGGGAGTCAGGGCTAAGAAAGTTGTTCTAAACAGGTGGCTTTCAGTATCCCCCTTTCTTTTTAGCAGAAATGGTCTTCTTTTATTTACCACACCCCACCAAATTATGCAATATTTACATAAAGTCTCAGTAAAGACAACAACAAAATAGAGTTACATGAACTTAACAGAAAAGTAGAACAGGGAGAGTTCTACCCACTCAGCCATCCCCTTGTCAGCATTTGTGGTGGCCCCAAGAAACCTGGGCATTTTAAGCAGTTTTAAAACCACTGTTTGAGTACGCTTTAAATCCATACACACCTCCATGATATGCAGGAATCTGTCTTCAGAGGGTGGATGTGTGGCCTGCAATATCCGCCATATGTGTTGAGTCTCATCCAGAGATACTTCCAAGAGATCTCCAACCATCATAAGCTCTTCCAGCTGGGCTTTAGCACCAGTAGACAACTCCAGCACTGGAGGTTCCAAACTTCGGGGCACCAAAGGGCTCTTCCGAGGTTGTTTCCTCGGGGTGCTTGAACCTTTCCAAAAATATTAGAACAAAAAAACGGTAACTACAGAAAAAATTGAAATGTTTTGCAAGTAAATATTTAGGGGAATAATCCCTCCTACCCAATACTTGAGATATATTTACTGCATCAATACAAAAGTGAAAATGAAATTTAAAAAAATACAGAAGAAAAAGATCTAGGACTGTAATGCCCAGTCTAAAAAATTGGTTTAGAATAAACTCTGATTCCTTATTGATTCTTTATCCTATTCCTTAGAGGGGAAAGAATCTCCTATTCCATTCTCTCTCCATTTTAGAGAGTACCAAAAGATTAAACATGTGGCTGTCCAGTAATAAATAAATGTTATCTTCCTAATGAACAGACAACATACTGTTCCCTAAACTCCTGGATTTTACTACAGAGTAACACCCTCCATTTTCCAAACATGTGACCTAAAACAATGTGAACATAAGATAAATCATCTGCCAAAGAAAGGAAGAAGTTTCTAACCTTATTAAAGCTTTATAAAACCAGAATGAGTATTCTTAAAAACAAACAAGTTCCTCAACAACTCATAATGAAAATATAGAGGCTACACAACTACCTATCAGGGATTTTACATAACTGAATGATGGGACCAGGTGGCCTCTAAAGTTCTTCTAATAAGGATTCAGTAATGCGGACAGAAAATGCAAATAGGGACTGGCTTTGCCTAACTTAAATTGTATTTTCAGAATCTATTAGAATCGCATAGCCAGGATTTGTATTTAAGACAGACTAAGTCTTAATTAATACAGTATTTTTTTCTCACTGGTTTCAAGCTTATCTTCTCCACATCATTTTAAAGGGTAATACCTTGAGAACAACTCTTAGAAGCAGAAGAGTAAGCATGTTCTGCACAGAATGAAGGTGCTGTCCACATGTGAGTGACCACCTCCTCAGACTTGATGGGAATCTCTTCATCACAAAAGAGATTGGGTTCCAGACTGCTGGAGGACTTCACACTGGCTGTATCCTGAAGCAGAAGCAAAGAAGCGTACTCAGAATTAGAACCATTTAAACTATCCTATGACAAGGATCTAAATGCAGGCGGTCAGGTTAAAACATGTAACGTAACATACTAAAAATAGGACCCAGAATTAAAAACAGTTGACCCTTGAACAACCTGGGGGTTAGGATTGTCAATCTCCTGACATATTTGAGTCTGGTATCACTTCTGATTACCTAAAGACTTAATTACTAATAGCCTACTGTTGACCAAATACCCTACCAATAACATAAACAGTTGAATGACAAATATTTTGTATGGAATATGTATTGTTTACATTACTCCTAGCTATGTACGTGTGTGTGTACCTAAGTTTTGATCAATTTTAACTCTTTATAACAGAGTTCTGTATATTTCATGGTAGTAAATTATAAAATAGACTAGTACCTATATATATTTCATGCAGTCATATCATAGCTTTTTAAAAATTTCTTGGATATATCTGGACAACACCGCTCACCTTAAAGTTCTTCAAATTGTCACAAATAGACAAAAAATTTTCCAATATATGTATTGAAAAATATCTGAATATAAGTGGATCACACAGTACAAACCTCTCGTTCAAGGGTAAACTGGCAGAGATAATAAGCCTGTAAGAAAATTATTATTAAGTCTACAACTCATAAAAACACAATTTAAGGAATCTTTGCCCTTAAAAAAAAAAATGGACTTAGGAGGAGAAAAAAGGTTTAGATGTGACATCTTAAGGATACAAATAATTTTATCTCCTCTAAAGGTTTTCAAACCTAGAAGCTTACCAATTGCTCTTATTTCTCACAATGAAGAGCCTGACTGACAATATGCAAATTATACAATACTGACAGTCTAATTAGGTTTCAGATGATTATCCTGTGTAGTTAGTTTCTGTAAGTTCACATGTACAGCTTTAATGGTCAGATTGCATTAGGAAGACCAGAAATTACAGTAGTTCAACAAGGAGAATTAGGTGAACTGCTTAAATGTGTATTAAAGACATGAAAAGGCAAAAAGGAAACTCCAACGTAACACCAAGATAACTGCAAGAAGGAGCTGTCATCCCTACAGCGTGAGGAGCAGTCAGTCAGGTTATTAGGACCTAAAAGTTGAGGAAGGAGCCCTACAGAGCTTGGGACCCAGATTTCTGATGGGAGACACTGGCCAGTTAGTTCTGCTAATTAGTTTTCTACTGGAACACAATGTGGTTGGATTCAGGGGTATGAAAGGAACAACTAGAATCTAGAACAAGTTGCTGCAAGTGTTAAAAAAAAAAGCATGCAGGTCAGATGAAGAAGATAGGAATGGAAAATAAGCATTAAGATCAAGCCCCTTTTCACTGTTTAAGCAATTAAATTTTCTCTAATGATCTCTATTGGCAGACAGCAGGCAACAGGCAAAAGACAGGATTTGGCAAATAACATCGTATAGAGCCAAACCCAGCTGCCAGCCTGTTTTTGCATGGTATGAAATAAGAATAGATTTTACATTTTTACAGAGTTGTTAAAAATATATACATGTGGGGTTGGAGCCAAGATGGCGGCGTGAGTACGACAGTGAGAATCTCCTCCCAAAAACATATATATTTTTGAAAAATACAACAAATACAACTAATCCTAAAAGAGAGACCAGAAGACACAGGACAACAGCCAGACTACATCCACACCTGCGAGAACCCAGAGCTTGGTGAAAGGGGTAAGATACAAGCCGCAGCCTGGCAGGACCCGAGGCCCCTCACCCCAGCTCCCGGCGGGAGGAAAGGAGTCAGAGCAGGGAGGGAGAGGGAGCCCAGGACTGGTAAACACCCAGCCCCGGCCATCTGCACCAGAGCGCACACACAGTGTATACGTGGGGTCCTGGATACTACGGAAACAGAACAGTAAGACCTTTGAGCAGGTCCCGAAGCCGGCACCCCTGTGACAAAGAAAAGCAAGTGCTTTTTGAAAGTCTTAAAGGGACAGGGACTTCACAGCTGGACGGAAGCATCCTGGGTCACAGAACAGCTGCTGGAAATTTCTGGGAACTCCGGGCGCACTAACCCCCGGGACAACAGCTCTGAGACCCCTCACGGAGGTAAACAGACAAACAGCCCCCGGTCCATTACCACTCTGGGGCCCTGCTACAGCATAGCAGCTGCCTGAGGCTGGCCACACCCACAGCAAGGGAGCTTCCTCCATACCCGCCGGGCAAGATACAGAGACCCAGTCTACACGCAATTGCCCAACACAAGCCACTAGGGGTCGCAGTTGTCCCAGTAAAGAAAGGCCAGGAGCAAGTGGAAAGTCTTGGCTCTCCCAGCTGACAAACGAGTGAATAGCTCACCACTGCACCTATCAACATGAAAAGGCAAAAAAATTTGATCCGGACAAGACTAACCCAGACAGCTTCGACATCTTCAACATCTTCCCCTGAGAAAGAACCTGGCAAGATAGATTTAACCAGTCTCCCTGAAAAAGAATTCAAAACAAAAGTCATAACCATGCTGATGGACTTGCAGAGAAATATGCAAGAACTCAGGAGGGAGAAAACAGAAATAAAACAAGATCTGGAAGGACGTCAAAACAGAATGGACGAGATGCAAGAGACCATTAATGGACTAGAAAACACAGAACAGGAACGCAGAGAAGCTGATGCAGAGAGAGAGAAAAGGATCTCCAGGAATGAAAGAATTTTAAGAGAACTGTGTGACCAACTGAAATGGAACAACATCCGCATTATAGGGGTACCAGAAGAAGAAGAGAGAGAAAAAGGGATAGAAAGTGTCTTTGAAGAAATAATTGCTGAAAACTTCCCCAAACTAGGGGAGGAAATGGCCTCTCAGACCACAGAGGTACACAGAACTCCCATGACAAGGGATCCAAGGAGGGCAACACCAAGACACATAATAATTAAAATGGCAAAGATCAAAGACAAGGACAAAGTATTAAAGGCAGCCA